AAAAGAAGAATGAGGGCAATGAATGTACATATGTGCTTTATACAATTGATGTATGTATGGATTGTGATGAGTTGTATGAGCCCCCAATAAAATGACTTAAAAAAAAAAGAGTTGAAAATGAAAACGAGGGACAATGAATAGCTCTCCGCCTCTGACCCGGGCACCGAGGACTTCTAGGTTGGCAAACTGAGCTCCCCCTGAGTGACTCAAGAGCCACTGAGTCATACCTTCTATGGCAAACGGCTTCCCCACAGTCAGAAGCTTGCAGTCAGCATCTATTGACACTTCGTAGTCCAGAAGGGCTTTGTCCATGATGAAGGCGTCTAGTTTCTCCGGATCATTCCTATATTTAAGACCAAGAGAAGAAAAGGGAAAAGATTCATGAGTGGGCAGGAAGTGCTGAGGCTGACAGTGGCTTTTGTTTAGGGTACAGAGACTGGACGCTGAGGGCTGCACAGGCAAAGCTAGTGCCGACTCAGCCTTCCTGGCATGTCACTGGGCTGTTGAGTGCAAGCCAGGGGAAACAGTCGCTCTTTTTATTGGGGGGCTCTTACAAACCTTATAACAATCCATCATTCAGTGGCATTAAGCACACTTGTACATATGTTGCCATCAACATTTCCCAAACAATTTCTACTTAAGCCCTTGGTATCAGCTTCTCTTTTTACCCCCTCCCCTCTCCGAACCTCCCACTCTCCTAAAATCTTCATCAATTATATATAATTATTGTTCTTTTGTGTTTTACCCTTCCCATTGTCTCCCTTCACCCACCATTCTGTTATTCGCCGCCCTGGTGAGGGGCTATATATCCAACCTTTCTCCCCCTTCCCCCGCCCCACCACCCCCCCTCCCCCTACCCTCATGATATCGCTACTCCCACTACTGTTCCTGAGGGCTGTACCTGTCTGAATTCCATGACTCCCTATGCCAGGTTAAGGGTAAAGGATCTGCCTCTGTAAAGATTACTGTCAAGAAAACCTCAGCTCCGCTCCGCAGCACGTGGGATTGCCCTGAGTCCGAAACAACTTGACCGCAATCCATTGGGTTTTTTGCTCATTACTTGAAATCCCGAAAGAAAGCCCAAGTGACTCTAAAGTGGATGAGATATACAGACAAGTCTAATTTCTCTTACTGAGATGCCTTTGAGTAGGGATTTTACTCATTCTTTTACATACATTTCATCACTAACTCACCATAAAGATCATGCGGTGGGTACTACTGCATCGTGTGGCAGGTGTTTACTACTAGAAAAGGTGATACTCTCTTCACAGGTAAGACGATGGAGGCACAGAGAGTTCAAGTAACTTGACCCAGTTTGTATAACTAGTAAGTGCTGGAGTCAGGTGGTCTCGTCAATCAGTATGTGGAAATCCTTATTTAGCTTCATGATCATTGGCATATTCTTCAGAGGTTAGGCATTATTTAATCTTTAAGAGTAGCTATACAGGAAATTAAAAAAAAAAGATTGCTGTCTCTTTAAAGTCCCTATGTTAGTTTCTAACAAATGGAAGGGGGGAGCTTAGTAACCCCGATTTATTAATGAGCCAAAGTGCCCAAATGACCATGGAATTCCATCCTGAAGATTCTTCTCTTTTTAAAAAGTTATTCTTTTTATTACTTTGTTGTCAGTATCTCTCTGAATCCAAATATTTGAATAATTTAATGAGTATATGAGTGATAACATCCAAAAATTACTTGCTGTCACATTGTCTGTAGAACATACAAGAGGACTTCAAAATGTTCATGGAAAAATTTCATTATCTTAAAAAAAAAATCATTTCAGTGGGGGCTCGTATAACTCATCACAATCCATACATCCATCCATTGAAATTTAATAATCTTTCATTTCTATTTTCCACAGAGTTTTTGAAGCCTCCTTGTCTTATAGATGATGGGGTACATGAATAAATAAACAAACAAAAATAGGTGGCTGTAAATGCGGTTCATTGTAACTTTGTAAGTTAGGGACTTTTCCCAGCAGGCAGTTTAGGCAGGACTTAAGTAATGTACACATCCTTGGTCTTTACCAGTAAATGGGCAGTGGGCTGGTCCTTGGGCACAGTTCATGGAAGTCTCCCCTACTTTTGAACATGGGCACAGGGCTGGGCCCCAGGAAAGCTGAGTCTCACCATGGATGGGCTCCCACTTACCCAGAGGGCACGGGAGAAGATATTGAAGCCAGAACTGTCCAAGGAGGTGCAGTGACTCGTTTTAATCATCTTAAATCCTTTTGGGGAAGGCTTTACTACCTTCTTTCAAGGTTATACAAGTTATCCGGATAGATCTGCAAGGAGAAGAATTCTCCTCCCTTTCATGTGAGCTCAGCTATCCCTCTCTGTGAGCCGTGGATGAAGTTGCCGCACCAGAGAGGAGTGTTTCCAAACTCAGAGCCATGTTTATGGCTCGGCTCCAGCAAAAGTGACAGACATCCTGGACCCTGGAGGAGTCTTCATCTGGCGGGAAACACATTTCCACATGCATGCCTTTGGCTGGACTTCCCACGGACACATAGAAAATAGGTCAGCTTCCCTTTTTAGCTTCCAATGACCATGGCTTTCTCTTTCCACCCATGGAGGAAGTGAAACAGTTAATCCCAAATGCATCCGCTTTCTCATAGGTAACTTTAACCCGAACAAAAACACCTCCATGTTCCAGAGCAGTTTGTTTCCCACCGGGCTGGGGATCTGACTGGTTTGCGGGGGCCTGTTTCTCAGCAGCCCCACGGAAATCCTGGTAATGGAACACAAGCTGAGCTGTCAGGTGTTCTCCAATCACAGCCTTCCTGTCCCAGGAGCACACTGTGCCTGGGGAGCCACGGAGCAACCAGCTACCATTTTCTAATCCTCCACAAATATTGTGGTAGCAATATGAAAATTTAAAAAATTGAGATCCCATTCAGTTTTGAAGACTAGTGATTCCCGAGGTCCAATCCTTAAATAACTACTCATGTTTGGGGACTGCAAAGTGCGCTTTGCCAGGGCAAGTCCCAATGGCCAAGGGAGGTAAGAGAACACCAACTCACAGGCCCCTGTGTGGCTCTGAGTCACACTGGTCGGGAAGTGGCTGGGGTGACTCAGGGATAATAAGCAGCCCCTCGACTGGCTAAGTCACACTGTCGTTGGCTGGGCCTCCACTTGTCTCTCCCATTATAGACTCATACCCCGTCCCTCTTTGAGCATTTATTTAAAAATGCATATACCACAGATAATAGACATATGTTAACATACTAAACGAAATGAATATTTTCATAAGGACTGACCTACGGGACAATGCTCATCTGAAAATGGTAGAGACTGAGGGAATAGGAGGACGCCGCGAGGACTCTTGGTGGGGAAAGGAAGAGATGGACAGTGCGTATGAATAAAACATAGGAACCTGCCGTGTACAGAAGCTGTGCTCTGCGAAATAGGGAGATGACATGTTGGGGTGATAGACAGCCTGTGGCTGTTTAGAATCAGTGTAATGGCCAAGAGTGTGGGCCGGTGACCAGACCAAATGTGGGAAGGACGGTGAGAGGGAAATAAGAGGACAGACCTTCTGCCTATCTTCCATTTCTTCTTGATCAGTGAGCCATCTGAGCAGATGTTAAAATGCAAATTCCAGTGCAATAGCTTTCGGTGGAGCCTGAGAATCTGCATTTTTACCAAGCTCCCAGGTGCTCTTAATGGTACTGGAAAATGACTTCTCTTTTTGATCAGCAAGGAGCCAGCCTTGTGTTACGGTTCCTAGACTAGCCTGCTGAAGTAGTTAGAGTCCAGAGCCCTGGCTCTGCCACTTGCTCCCTGGGTTTCCCTGGATAAGTCACTGCCTGATGACCTCATCTTGTAATGAGTGCTTCTCTTTGAGGTCCAGCAAGGAGCGCTGGTGGTGTAGTGGTTACACACAGGGCTGTGATCTGCATGGTCGGCAGTTTGAAACCACTAGCAGCTCAGCGGGAGAAAGACTGGGCTTTCTACTCCCGTAAAGAGTTACAGTCTTGGAAACCTACAGGGGCCAATCGGAGTCAGCATGGACTAGATAGCAGTAAGTGTGAGAAGGCCAACTTTTGGCATGAAGCTGTCTTAGATGATGACTCTGGAGTAGGTGGTAACTCATCTCATCCTTTCACACTTCCAGCACAGTCCCGTTTGCCAGCCCTTGTTATCCATCTCGCTAGGAACCATTGCTAACTCTGACATTATCTCTTAGGCATAGATTTTTCTGGATGGGGAGAATACAGAGGAGAGGCTGGGAGACCAAGGTGCTCTAAACTCAGCATTAGGGAGGAGATTTCATCTTTTTAAGTTCTTGAAAAATTGAAAGTGCCATTTGATAGCACTTGAACATCATATATAACTTTGCAAATCCAGGAGTCCCAGGCTTCCTCTCTAGGATCTAGTTAAAAGTCCATAAAATTGTTTAAGGGGCCTATTACTGGAGCTCTTGAGAAACACAAACCCCGTATGTCCCATGCCATTAGTTATCTTTCGTTCTTCTTAAAACAGAATCTGTGGCAGCAGGTCCTGTTGTCCGTTGGCTAAATTACTGTGGCTGACCATGGATAAGCCAGTTTCCTGATGCCACACAATTCTAGGGATTGGTGGCTTGAATGTCTGCCATTGTCCTGATGCCGTCAGGCAGGAGATAGACGATTTCTCAGCACCATGCAGTGGTGCTTATCAAGAGCGATTCATTCCCTTCTCTCAGGCAGACTCCAGAAGCAGAGCTGCACATCCTCCTTTGCATTCAGCTGAACTGAATTACAGGCTCTGATAATCCACCATGGCAATGTGATTGCTCTTGATTGCTTCTCATAAATTCTGATGAGAAGTAGGATGCAGGCCTGGGAATCATTGCCTTCTATCCTATTTCCTTTCTACAGGAAATCTCTAAGATGGATTCTGTTTTCTTGTGGCAAGAAGACACATTCCACGGGCTTAGAATTTCGCTGTGAAAGAAGGATTGCTCGGGACACTTTATCCTCTGGCCCCATGCCCTGAGAGTTTGATCATTTTGGCACCATTGTTTTCCCAAGTGATGCCAAGCCAGCATTTGCTTCCCCCACCATCTGCTACACTAATGACCCCACCGGCACTTTGAGCAAAGCTACTGCCAACTTGGCCTGATGCAGGTAACTAGTAATCTAGGTCACATAATGCAGCACCCACTCTTCCACATGGCCTCCTGGCTCTCGCACAGTGTGAAATGTTAGTGAATATGCTGGATGTATTTAGCCATTCATTAAGAAACAAACAAACAAACAGCAAATACTGTATCAGTAGCCAAATGAGCTCTCTTTAATGAGAGGCTTTGTACCCAAGAGGTTGACACTCACTTTAGATACTCCACTCCATCCGGGGTGGCTGGTACATTGTACCTTCTCATATACTCATGCATCTCTGGGAAGCTTTGTCTCACATATTCTTCAGCACTGCTTTCCCGGACAGTTCCAAACCGGAAGCCTTGAGAGGGATGATGGAGCTATGAAGGAGAAAAACAGACGCCTTCAATAGAAATGACTCTTAGAATGGATACATTGAAACAAAATTCATTCCCAATCACTCTTTGGAATCTAATCCTAATTTAAATCGGAAAAACCCACAGGGTGTAAACGCATACATAGAGATGTGCAGGCACAGGGGCGTGGGCTCTTGCAGCCCAGCTTTCCCATCAGTAATTATTCTGTCTTCAGGAACAAAAATCACTTCGGAAACAACAGGGAAAGAACACACAAAGGAAAAAAGTAACCACTTTTACCTTGCCGGTCCAGAGAATATATATATGCTGTGACTTGTTCTGCAGATAAACTAAGGCAGGATTCCTCACACAGGATTCTGCAGAGCAGCAGGCTTCTGAGAGAGAGCCTCAAAGGAGGCATGAGGTGGGGCCAGGAGGAAGCCTCTGTGTTTCCTCCCCCAGCCTCACCTCCTGGGGCACCTTCACAATGCTCTGCTTTTAACATCAGAGCTCTACAGGAGCTGAGGAGCCTCAGGTGCTACCAGGAGTTAAGCACTAAACTATTACTCCAGAGGTTGATGGTTCCAGCACTAGTGTTGGGGGCAGGTTAGGGAATAATCACCTATCTGCTCCTCTAGATGAAGCTGCCAGCCAGAGAGAATCAGCCACGAGCTTGTAAGAAGTGGCTGTAAGGTATTACTATTACGGGAGGAGCTTGTGGGGATTAATTTTCATTATGAGAATGCGACTTGGACCTTTCTCCAACTCACAAATGTAGGCCTTCCTCCACTCAGACTTCTGGCCTGCCAGCCCTGTGTACCCGAGAAAGACGTCACTCTCCTGCTTCCCACACATTAGCTCCTTTGTGCTTACCAAGATACCTATGAAGCATTTCTGTGCTCTCCTTTTTATAGACGAAGAAACTAAAGATAAGAAAATCTGTGACTTGTTCAAGGTTACAGAGCTAGTATGGAATGTTGACTCTAGGATTTAGAGAAAAGATAAAGCTTTTGAGAAAAGATAAAGCTTTTGACCACTGCAGGACTCCGCTTCGGACACTATGCTGCACTGTCTGGCCATTATAGAATTTGTTGCTTTTCTGTACCACATAGTAAGCTAAGGGATCTAAACACTTGGAATCCTCACAGTAATCCTGTAAATAGATATTATTTTGGGAACAAGACAGTGAGATTCAGATAATCAAAGTAACAACCGAATTCTAATGGACAACAGGTAGCAAAAGGCTGCCGATGCGATTTTCCCTAACATCCTAGTGAGCTTTCTTCATGGGTGTCTCGCTACTGCCTATCGTGACACTCGGCCCTTGGCAGGGGCTCTCTCCACGTCTGTCAAGCTAATTCATTGTACCATGACCCTCCCATCCTCCCTCCGCTCTTCAACTCCTATTCATTCTTTGACTCTCAGTTGGATCCTCTCTTCCCCAGGGAAGCTTCCTCTAATTGGCTGCCTAGGCCAGATTCCCCTTTTGTCAACCTTCGGATTTATAACTCTTTATTTTGTAGAACTTAGTGTACTTGTGGCTCACATTGAATTGTGCAAACGTTTAATTAACATCTAGGTGGTCAGTTTCTTCATTGGACCAGAAGCTTCATGTAAGTGGGAATCCCATGTGTTTTAATTCACCATTGTGCTCCAAGTGCCTTCCATCGCACGGCTGTGCGTAAAAGGCTTGATGACCGATGCGTTGGTACTCTCTGAACCAAGAGGGAAATGAGAACTGTGTCATCCCATTGATCACCAGAGAGTGGAATAACAACTTTTAGATGGGTGAGTGAACTCTCCTTGAAGGTAAAGGACCATAATCTATAACCCCTTCCCAGGGGGACAAATAAGGGGAACGTGGGTGAGGGGCGATGGAGGATGATGTAAGATATGGAAATATAACTTCTCAAGGGTTTGTGAGGGAGGGTGCATGAGGGAGGGAGAAGAAATGGGGAGCCGATATCAGGGGCTCAAGTGGGAAGAGAATGCTTTTGAATATATGGATTGTGATAAGAGATGTAAGTATCAAAATATTTGGGGAAAAAAAGACCATAGCATCATGAATTAAGATACTCTCATTTTATAGCTGAAAAGAAGAAGCCCTTTCAGAAATCTGTCTCCCCCTCCCTACACTGTGACAATATTTTAGAGAGCCCTAGTGGCAGTGACACACTGGGCTGCTAACTGCCAGTTCAGTAGTTTGAGACCACTGGGTGCTCTGTGGGAGAAAGATGGGGCTTTCTACTCCTGTGAGAGTTAGTCTTGGAAAGCACAGGGGCAGTCCGACCTTGTCCTAGGGTCGCTAGGAGTCAGAATTGACTTGATGGCACTTGTTTGGTTTTTGCTTTGCCTGTTTCTAGGCAAACGCTGCCTTTCTGGACCTTAGCTTTTCTGTTTGCACATCAGTGCATCCCCCCTGCCCCAGGCCCTGGAGAGGGTGGGCCACCAGCAGAAGCCAGGACTGGCCCTGGCCTTTCCCCTTTCTACGCCTGCCTCCACCTCCCTGCTTCCTGCCTGCCCGTGGAGCTCGAATGCCTGCGGCAGAAATCAGTTTAAGCTTTCTTTCTTTTTTAAAAACAATTAATTTTAATAAATCATTTTATTGGGGGCTCTTAAAACAATCCACACATCAGTTGTATCAAGCACATTTGTACATATGTTACCATCATCACTTAAAAAAAATTTTTTTTCTACTTAAGCCCTTGGTATCAGTTCCTCTTTTTCCCCCTCCTTCCCCCCCCCTCCCCCTCTTATGAATCCTTGATAATTTATAAATTATTTTTACTTTCACATTTTACCTTGTCTGCCGTCTCCCTTCACCCATGTTTCTGCTGTTCGTCCCCCCAGGGGAGGAAGGTGAGGCTCGTATGTCAATCATTGCGATTAGTTCCTCCTTTCTCCTCCTTTCTCCCACCGTCCCCCTACCCTCATGTTATCACTACTCGCATTATTGATCCTGAGGGGTTTATCTGTCCTGGAGTCTGTGTGTCGAGAGCTCTTGTCTGTACCAGTGTTCAGGCTCTGGTCTAGTCAGATTTGTAAGCTAGAACTGAGGTCATTATAGTGTGTGTGTCTGGGGAGTATTAAAGAACTAGAGGACTATTAAACTGGCATTCCATGATGCTCACCTTCCCAATACGATTGCTGAAGACAAAGCAGGTGCATAAACAAATGTGGTGAAGAAGCTGATGGACCCGGCTATCAAAAGATACAGCGTCTAGAATCTTAAAGACTTGAAGGTAAACAAGCGGCCATGTAGCTCAGAAGCAACAAAGCCCACATGGAAGAAGCACACCAGCCTGTGTGATCACAAGGTGCCAAAGGGATCAGCTATCAGACATCAAAGAACAAAAAATCATATCATTGTGTGCTCACCTCCCTGATATGACCGCTGAAGACAAATGGG